ACTGTTTTGAAAAGTGGGAAGGCTTTGTGCATGGAATGCTGTTTCAGTCTCTTCAGAAGTTTATCCTGGCAGGAATGCTGGAGTGTATGAAAAGACAAGTGTTCAAGACATTTGAGACTGTACACTTTTGCTGGGTAGTGTGCTTGTTAAGAACTGCATTTAATTATGTTGGGGTATAGTGCTCCTAGAACACAGATCCACAGTGATTTTAGTGAATGCTTTACTATCAAAATGAGAAATCTCCCTAACTAACCAGTAAATATTTTGTCCCTTGTGTCACTGCCTTCCACCTGCAAGAATGTTGAAAACTTTCTTTCTTATTAAGAAGCTATTGACATTTCCTCTTTCCTGGCTATAACTTTATTATATATTCATTATCCAGGTTTATTATCTATTTTTATAGTCTGTCAGCACAGCTATTGAAGTGGGGGATATCAGCCAGAGCTTTGAAAAGTTACTCTTTAGAGTACAAGTTGCAGAATTCTGGTGGCCATGTTGGCTGGGGGATTTGGGGAATTGTAATTCATAATCAACTAGAACGCTCAGGTGTCTAATACAGTATGGATGATTATATCCCTGGTTAAAAAAAGAAATCTATATTGCTTTGTTCCAGAGTAGCATTTTATAGACAAAATAGGTAGTAAAGTTGAGTATGAGGCTCAAATCTGCATCATATATTCAATAACACTATTTCTGAGGTTTTGTCAGTTATATAAAAAATAATATTAAGTTCTTTGCTGCCTTTTTGGTTTTAAAATTATCACTGAAATTGTCTTGCAAATGTATAAGAGTACAGTACAGCCACATTTCAATCCTCTTAATTTCAAGTGATACTGACTTCCATGGTTGTAAGGTAATGAAAGAAGATGGGGAGCCACTTTCTCCAAATCTCCTACCACTAAAATTGGTAGGACCAGTGCATAATATTTGGCTATACCATATCCAGCTCTTCTTGAATATACATTCAAGAAACAAATAACTTCTATCAGTCTTGTGCAGTTCTGCTCTGTATTCATTGTCTTCATTTTCTTTATGGAATGTGAAAATGTTCTCTTTCCTTCCCTCATTCCTTTTTAAATTGTTTCTTTTAATTTTGTAGACAGTCCATCTGGTCTCCAGTTTGGAACAAGAGCATTGGAGTGCAGTGCATCTTAAAGTAGCTTGAGAGAGCTAAAATAAAATAAAATAATAAAGAAAAAAATAAGCCATGAACTTATATATTGCTGAATCATTTTTAGTTTTTTTAGTTAAGTCTTAAGTTCTTAACTGTAGGCTTTATATCTAAAATATTTGTTTCTTTAAACTTAAATATTTAAACATGTTTTTTTCTTCAGTATATTCTGTATTAGAAAACATCACTCTGGAGGAGTGTTGTTGGGGTCTGAGGTTTTTAGTTCTCATTTTGACCAAAATGCTTTCAAAAAGGGCTGGTTTTTAGTCTCTCTCTTGCTTTCTTGTTCTGTGTGGTGTTTTCCTTTTTCTCTTTGTTTAGTTCTACTCATGCTAGCTTTTATTCATGCCATTTATCACCTATTTTTTCTTCACAGATCTTCAAAGTAGTGTATAAGCTCCCATTCCCAATTATAATCAGTATCTCAACTGTATATTAATACTGCAGTTTGTTTAAATTTTGTTTTAATGTTACAGCATTCTGTCTCTGTTTGGTCTACCCATGCTTTTATTTACTTTTATCTGTAGCTGTTTTTTATCCTTCAGTAATCTGCTTTAAGCTGTCTCTCTGGGAATGATATAAATCAATTAAAATATTAAAGATAAATTAACCCAGAGAGGTAGATTATCACCCACTGAACTTCATGGCTAATTGGGAATTTTAACCTGAATCTCCTCCTTCCTTATCTAGCACTCTAAAGCACACTATAGCACACCAGATAAAGCAAGACTTCTTTTTGAATTGGGTGCTGTTAAGGCTATAATAGGGATACTTTCCCCATTTATTTAAATGAAGTATAGTGTTATGAAATTTTTTGGACTCTGTGTTCAGGGTGAGGTTTCTCCCATGAGCTATACTGTTCTCCAAATTTGTCTTAGGGCCTTTGCAGACTGCCAGAAATAGTGCACATTAAATTGAGGCACTGTCCTGGCTCAGTGCTAGGGAGTCATAGGAATTGTATTTTTTTTCTGAGACATTGAGCCTTCTCTGTCAGAGAGCTCTGGTGCCACAATAAATTACAGTTCCCATGATTCCCTAGCACTGAGCCAGGGCAGTGCCTCAATTTAATGTGCACTATTTCTGACAGTCTGCAAAGGCCTTTAGTCATAATCTAATGGCCACCACTGAGATTGCTGTTGAAAATTTGGTGGCAACTGCAGTGAGCCTCCATGGTGCAAGAAGAGACTCAAATGCTGTGAAAGTCCTGCAGGCTGGTAGAGTAGAACATCTTTTCAGAAAGAAAAAAAGTTATGGAGGTAAATGTGCTGTGTCTCTGGCAGACTTTTGGCAACAGTAAGTTTGAGTGGCAGAGGTCCAGTAGGAAGAGGGGTCGACAACTCTGGAAGGCTAGGGAGCCACATTATCTTTGCGGGCTGTGCTGTCATTGCACCACAACTGCCCCAACTTTTTTATCCCCAAATACCTGTTGGGAACATGGAGGCAATTCACCATGTTTTTGGACCTTCTTGGGCCATTTTAGATCCAGGAAAGGTCTTTTTTAAAATAGAAAGTCACTTCCTATTTCTAAAAGATCTCTCCTGGGCCTCAATTGTCCCAGCCCCCACTCCTCAGAAATGGTGAGAATGTTTCTCATTGGTCCCTTGGGACAACGATAAAAAAAGCAAAATTTTGTTGACAATTAGAGGGCTCCAAAAATGGTGGAAATGCCCAGCACTGGAGGGCATTTTACATCTGGAGGACATTTTGGATCTCAGGGGTCAACAAAAACAGTTGTGAGGGCAACACTTTGCCCAACCCTGGCTTAGGAGAATGTGTGATAATGTCAATTGTGTGAAGTTGCAACATTAGGGATTGAACAAATGTCTGAACTAAATAGATTTACATCTGTTGCCTCTTCTTCTGTACACCAGCACTGTGCTGTAACACTGCCTTACTCTTACTTTTCTGTAGATCAAAAGTAGGTGCCTTCTATAGTTGAAAGAAATGGGGAGATGAGTTGGGCTTTTTCCATAATCTTGGATGGTGGTTCATGGTGGTTGTTTTACTCACTTTGAGAGTCAAGGTGCGTGTTTGTGTATGAAAAAAGAAGTACTTTATATACTCAACTATAAGTTGACCTCATGTATAAGTTGAGAGCAGGTTTTGGGGCCAAAATTATGGATTTTTATATAACCCGAGTATAAGTTGAGAGTAAAACTTAGGGGCATGTAATAAAGAATGCAAAGGATGAAGGAAAGGAAAATGATGCCAAAGCACACTGCTATTTTCCCAACCAGACTTTCAAAAAGGCCAGAGGTGGCAAAACAGTGGAGAAAATAGAGAGGGGTGATGCTTCTTTTAGTTTCTTCCAGGATGGACTAAGCTCTTCTCTTTTGCCACTCTACTCAGAGAAGGGGATGCTTCCTTTTTTGATAAGAGTTAATGTACAGTACTTACAGAACTTACATTGACCCATAGATAAGTCAACTCAGGTTTTTGGGGTCAAATTTTTAATTAAAATATCTAGACTTGTACATGAGTATATACAGTATGTGCTCAGCAGGGAATCATGGCCAATCCTAGTTCCTTTGTGGTTTGGCAATGCTGTACAGCCTGTGTCTGCTAAATGCATAGCATCTGAAGCAGGCCTAATGTGCACATTGGAACAACCCATTGTGGCCTTCCCCAACCAGATGTTTTAGACTTCAACTCCCAGCAGCCCCAGCGAGTATGACAATTAGTCAAGAGTGCTAGGAGTTTTAAGCCTAAACCATCTGGAAGTCCAGCTTCTTGGACTGATTTTACTAGGGTTCTCATGAGCCTGTGCTTTTTAGTTGAGTTTTGTTAAGAAGTCTGCACAGAGAGGATTAGGTATGGGGGGGGGAGTCTTTTTATGGGCAATATTTCAGCCAACTTTTCTCCCCCAGAAGCCAGGCAATCATGACGTAGTGAGAAGCTAGTGGTGTCTGGATTTTTTTTAATGGATTGAATTGTAAATTTACCACCTGCCTTCCATGGCCCCTTCCACCTCCCCCTCAGGCATAGCTGTACTGTGTGGTTTTTATAGTTAATGAGTATTAAATGCAGTTTTGAATAATTGTGGGAGGCTGGATAGAAGCCCCATCTTTCTGTAATGGAGAGCAAGCTTTTGGGTTTCAGCCAGGAAGGAAATCAGACTGGGTTTGAGGCCTGCATATTTCTTTTCTGCCAAAAGGTAACTTTGCATGCTCTGTTCCTTTCAATTTCATTGAATGTGTGAGAGTTTATGTGCATTCCTTGTTGCGGTATTGCTGCACTAACAACAGAATCCTGGAAGTCACTGTGCTCTTTTAAAGAAGTACTGTGGAAGTGGGGAAAATATACTTGTAAATTCAGTGGCGTGCTGGTGGAAATGTCTGAAAGTTCAAGCTAGAGTTGAGTGTTAGCATTCCTTCCCTCTTAGAGCTGGAAAAGCTATCTTTCTGGAGTACTGTTCACAGAATTCCTATTGGCTATTCTGTCTGGGGGATTCTGGCAATCTTAGGCCTAAAAAAGTAACTTTTCCAAACTCTGAATTCTCTTTTATGCCTTCCCCCTTCTTCTTCCTTCTCTCAGTGCTCTTCCTTGCCATCATGATGCTATTTCTATGCACCTGCACCCTCTAGTTCTTTTTGGATAACTATTCCTTTGAAATAAAAAAATTATTTGAAAAAATAATTGACCTTGTGACTGCTTTAACTGTCCTGGCTCAATGCTAGGGAATTCTGGGAATTGTAGTTTTTTGTGGCACTAGAGCTCTCTGAGAGAGAAGGCTAAATGTCTTACACAGCTACAGTTCCCAGAATTCCCTAGCATTGAGCCAGGGCAGTTAAAGCAGTCTCAAACTGGATTATTTCTGCAGTACGTTTTGGACAGTGTGGCATAGTGGTTTGGATGTTAGACTACAACTCTGGGGACCTGGGTTCAATTCCCTGCTCTGCCATGAAACCCACTGGGTGATGTTGGACAAGTTGCATCCTCTCAGGCTCAGAGGGAGGCAATGGCAAACTTCCTCTGAACCAGGGGTCGGCAACCTTTTTTGCCGACATGCCG